TGGAGGTATTCGCGTTTTCGAGTTATTCGACAAAATTGGGGTGGGTATATAGTTTTGTGAAGCACTGTAGTTATGTGGAGCACTGTATTAATTTTTCCCTTTGCCATGGAGAATGGAAATATGAGAGAGTGCAGGTTGCGCGAATGTGAGAACAACGGACCACCAAGGAACCACACTCGACGAGGCAGGGGACAGCGAAGGAAGGATAAAAAGAAAAGGATTAAAAATGGAATCCTTCGAAAAAAAAAATGGAAAAAGATTCATTAAAAAGTGAGCTAAAATGAACAAGTACGTGAACTGCACGTGTGTGATTTTCGAAAAACCCAGAAAATGCCAGCATCAGTTCTTTTTATACTTCGAAAAGAAGAAAGAAAGCGCATTTTGTGGATTTGAAAGCTGCCGACTGGCAAACCGAATATGGTCGTTTCAATTACAACGACCGTGATATTTATCGCTTTTCTTGTTGGATCAGCAACAGCCGAAAACGGTAAACGAATTGGTTTTATCATTGCTATAGATATCCTTGCAGTATGTGCTAACAAACAGGCGAATCTCAAAGAATGTCAAAAAGATGCATGTCCCGATTTCGAAATTTGTTATCGTGGGGAGAAAAAAAAGTACTGCTGCGGTAAGAGCAATAAAGCAGCTTGATTCACTTCAATTTCAATTCATTTTATTCTGTGAATTCAGGCAACTTAGAGACATACTGTAGCACCAAAATGTGGACGTTTCATTCAGTTAGTAGTGGCAGTTATCTTTATGGAAAAATCGATGGAAAATGCCCAGAAGGTTATACCCCCGAAAAAGATATTTGCTGTCGTATGTTTTGCATTCGTTGTTTTCAAATCAAACTCCGTTTTTAAGCAATTCCCTTTTCATTTCAATTTTTCCAATCGATGAAAGTTCTACCTTCCGGTAATTATTTTCAGTGGGAACGATTTCAGTGTGTTTTAAGGCACTCCAAAATCATGTGATAAGAATTCGGAGTGCGATAAAAATGAGTTCTGTGACGACGCAGTCAACCCATCTTTCATCGATACCATGCCGTATTCGGTTGAAAATGTTGACCGAAGCAATAATCATAAATCTAGAAGATTCTGCTATAAAAGTAAGTCGAGTATAAACTCAGTTATTCCAATATTCACGTTTTCAGTTCCTGAAGAACTTTCTCACGTCCAAGTGATCTTAGACGATGATGTCGGTCTGAAATTTTGCACGACGTCAGAGGATTGCAAAAACCCCGAATATTTCTGCTACACACCATTCTTGAATGGTTTTCAACGGATTGTCAAAGGCAAATATATATTTCAGCGTGGTTTTTGCGCCAAGAAAGCAGATTTGTGTAAAGTCACGGAGCAAAATACGTTAGATGGTGATTCATCGAACCAAGGAATAACTGCTAAATTCGATCCCGTCGGACAACTCTCGACACATAAAAAGTTCTGCAATAGAGATGATGACTGTATAGAAGGTGGAAAGTATCAAGGACGCGATGGTTTAAACAAAGTGTTAGAAATTAAATTCGAACAATCTAAAACTCTATTAAATTCAGTGGAAAATGCACAAAAATGAATGAAGCTCTTGGAATACAGGAAGTGCGACTATGCTGTTACCGTATGAAGTTATAGACAAAAACTTGAATAAATCTCTCCATTTTTAAGAAGATACAACTGGAATGTGCGAACATGGAAATGCTGCTACTCCATTAAGAAAATGTTCAACTTTTGATGATTGTAATAAGGGATTTGATGAACTAAAGACTTCGTGGTGCGACGAAAAAAGGTGGAGTTTGTTGCGACGGTGAGTCGTCTAATTGCAATTGATAAACAATTAATACTTTCAGGAAGATTCGATAAATTACTGTGGCACTGCCCTGATCACCAAACTGCGAAATTCAATGAGCCGAGGTGTGAAAATGTCGTCGCGAATGATCCGAATTCGGGAATTTGCAAGGCACAGCCGGCCGGAATTTGCTCCTATGGCAGATGTTGTCCGCCGTTGGTTATCATGCCGTCGTTGAAATTGGGCGAGAAACCATATATCACTGCACGGAAATGTGATCCAGCTGAGCCTCCACCGGATTATTCTAACTTTATGTTTTGCGATCCGGCCTCCGGCAATCTCACGGTCATCGGAGAAAAACAATTGGCGTCATCGAGGTCGGTAATCGTAACTGGCCACAAATGCAGCATTAATAAGTAATGTTTTCATACTCGCCAGGTTTATTCTGTCGTTGTTTCTTTTAGAGATTGCCCAAACCAAAAGGAAGTGTGTGTACGTACAACATCTGAATCAAAATGCTACTACAATCCTCTGATCAATTCTCGAGTTGCTGTCAATCACTCGGTGAAGATTATTCTAATATCCTCAATTGTGCTAGCCATTGTGTTTTCTATTCTTTCCGTTGTCTCTTATATGTGTTATCGATCTCGTAATGTTTGCGACAAGAAGACGGCGGGAGCTTCAAAATCTGAATTAAAACCACCAACACCAAAGTGTCAGTCAAAACCTCAATCCAAAGCATCAGCGCTAAGATCGCGAGAGAAAACATCACCGCCTACATCAGAATCGAAAGATGTAACAGCAATATCTGTAGGACATGGATTAGAGCCAAAAAATAAATATTCGATGATATGGTAATCAATTGATTAAATGAATAAATAGTTACATATATTGTCGTTTATAAAGCAAATCTGAATGTTAGCAGCAGAAAAATCACTGAAAAAGATTGAAATTGTAGATTTTGTGCTGTAAACATCGCTATTTTCAGGAAACAATTTTAGCGACAAGAGAAATGTGTTATGGCTGATGTGTCTGAAAGAGCTCAAAATGATTAGAACTCAACAAGAAATTATTGAAAAGATCAAGATGGGTTCCTCGAAGACACGAGAAAATTAGAGTGAAAATGAATGAATGGACACCGATAGTTAAATCAAATCACCCCACAAAAGGAATAAGCAAGAAAAAATGAAAATGTTAACATCATGGCTTTCGGTAAAAAAAAAACGGTTTAAAGTCAGTGCAGTGGCAAGGCGACACAATTAATGCTTTCGGAATTAAAACGCGGAAAGAATATTGAAACATTTTAAATGATAAATGTGAAGTAAACAAGAATACTCAATTGAAAATGAATATTTTACGATGTGATCGAAATAATTGATTGACTATATAGAATCTTTCAACCATTCGACTTCGGCAATCTTCCACTTTTACAAATAATTGATTGTTACGAATTGTACCATTCAAGTAAATTTTACCTGACGCTCATTTGATTCATTACATGATTCAACAATCGGAGGATTAAATTCATCATCATTTTCCACTAGGTCCTTTTTTGATTGGCATTGCTAAGCATAGCCCACTTTTTCCATGTTTCAACCTTCCAATCTAAATAATTATGATCAGTGTATGTCTTCGAAGAAATTCTCGAGAGATTTTCATCGAAAGAGTTCAAAAATTTCGAACAGTAGTGACAAAAAATGATCGAAAATCGTTGAGGATTTCTCGAGAAATCTTTGATTATCTATGAGAATTTCATATCGACTTTGGAAGAGTGTGACGAAGGGCATACACTGATCGAGGGCATACAGGGTGTCATTTAAGTTCCCGCACAACTTTGAAGACGTATATTTCTGAAACTAAAAGTCCAAATCAAACGAGACTCGAAATATTTTTTATCTATAGTATAACAAATATTTATCTATTAACTCTTTTCGATTCGGCCTCTTTTCGCAGCTATGACTTCACGGAGTCGCTTCGGGTAGGATTCGACTGTGCTACGCAGGTATTTGATGGAAAGATTGTCCCATTCCGCCAGTAATGTCTTCTTCAGAGCCTCTACACTTGAATGGGGTTTTGCGTTGACCTTCCCCTGCAAGACCCCATCACGGAAAAGTCAAGCGGGTTCAGATCTGGGGAGCAATCAGGCCATTCGGATGACTCGATAAAGTCGGGAAAATGGGTCTGGCACCACTCCTGAGTAGTTTTGGCAGTGTGGGTGGGTGCTCCGTCCTGTTGAAAGACCCATTTCTGCCCAACGAACCCCCCCCCCACTATTCGGTAGGACGGCAGCTTAACCCCTTTACTGTACTTTGGTTATTAGAACAAAAGGATACGCAACCGTAGAATCCCAGTTCTTGACTGGCCAGCTTATTCTCGAGACATAAATCCTATCGAAAATGTCTTCGGATTTATGGTGTAGAAAATTTTCGATGGTAATGTAAAGGTAGTTAGCCTCCAGGCTAACACCTTCTAGGGTGATCTCGTTGACCGATGATTCACCAATATTATCCGGCCTTCTTGATTAAAATCGAACCACTGGAAGCAGGGTCTGATAAACAGCCCACGCTTCCGGTGGCTGACCATCCTCTCTGCACACACTGTTTCACACATTAATATACGGTTATTGCAGATCTCGAGCAAGTCGGGCACCTGTTGTGTATATAAACAGCGTCTGCTTCTGGCCTCACACGGTCTTTTTCGATGTACAAATTGATAGAACAACAGTGCGTCTCACATTTCTAGAGCTAACTTTGTCAATTGTAAAAACTTTAAAATTCTGTTATCAAAATTGAATTCAGGACTAAAAAAATACATATTTCCATAATGATATCTGAAAAATTGGCCAAGTGACGTTGAAAGCACTGAAAATTTGTCACTTCCACATTTATAAAGGCACCAAGGTCTGAAATCCGCGCGCGTAAATCGACACTCATGTTGCGAGACCCAATTATACAATGGACCCAAATCGGAGTTTTGTTAAAATTGTTTCAGTTGTGTTCCCATCAAATCCCATTGTTTGCATTTCAATTTTTCCTCCGTTTTCACCTTTCCGCGTCCGTCCAAAAATAAAGCGGTGCTGCCCAAAAGCCGGACAATGTCAACAATGCATATTTAGAATGGTACAGTAATGCTTGCGCACCTGCGCACCGGACATGCAGATCGCCTCCAGGCGGGTTCATTCAATAAAATATTACTATTAATTGCAAATCGCTTGCGACATGTCGAAACGAATATTCCCTCTGATGATCCTACTAATCAGCTGCACTCGTTCAATCGATTCGAGAATAATGCATCGAGTGAGTTGCTCAACAATTCCTATTTTATTATAATAATTCGTAATTGCTTAGCCTCGCGATTTCCGTTGTGGTCGAATGATCGTATTTGGTGATAGTTTGTCAGACGATGGAGTTGAAGCCGAAGGTGATAGTCATGGATTCATGAGGAACTCGAATGGCAAAATATGGGCCGAATATGCTGCCAATATGCTTGAGTGTGAACGAGTTTGTTATTTTTTTTCTTTTTTAACATAAATTCATATATTGAACAAATAATTGTGATTATTGAAGTATATCAACTATGCGTACAGCGGTGCTAAATCTGGAATCGGCAATTTCTATTTTGACACATTTTCTGGAATTCAGTGGCAAGTCAATCAATTCCTCAGTAATAACAAGTTTCTATCTGATGGTATTTAAAAAAATACATTGATACCATAAATTCTCGGAACCCAAATTTAGATCCATTGCTTATCCTCCAAACCGGCGGCACAATCGATTTCTTCTCTGGCGAGCTCAATTCAACCGGAGTTATTGAGAATATTCAGAACACTATTCATAATATCACACAGGTATTTATATGGTTTTTAATTCGAGCTGACAACATTTGAAAATTGAAGACAATGACATCAGGCACATTTGTGATATTGAGCTTATTGGATGTTTCCAATAGTCCTGGTGTTCAGGCGGCCGATGATTCGGAGAGTTTGCAAGAGAAGCTCGGAACATTGATTGCTGAGGCGAACAGGGTAAACGAGAATTTTGGAGAATGAGTTTGGAATGATTCAAATTACAGCAACTCCACCATATAGTGCTTGATAGTGACCTCGGAACACGTCGTCTGAACCCGTTCCTTCGAGTCAAACTCATCGATATCAATACGATTGCTCTCGCCGCAATGCAAGCATTGAACACTTCCGAGCCATTCAGCCATCACAATCCAAATCTAATGTTGGTTTATTTCATTCCGATTTTTGTGAAATCATTTTACAGCCCGCAAGCAATATATCGATACGCTTATCATGATCTTTGGAATCCGTCAACAATGGTTCATTACCAAATTGCTAAGGAAATTGTGAGGCAATTGCAACAATTTTAAACTCTCATTTCTACTTATTTCAACATTTTTTGTATATTTATGTATGTGCAATATTTTTAATTTTAATTTTATTCATAAAATAATTGATTAGAAATACTATAGAAATATCAAAAGAAGGATTCTTGAAGCTTCAAGTTCCCAAAATAATTAAAATGAGGTGCAAGAAGAAGAAGAAACGCAAAAAAATGTATTTCACTTGAAGTCGTATTCTTCCCCCTCCCCCTTCGTAAATCGACACTGGTGAGTTACCGCCCTCCTTCAGCTCATTCGAACAATGAAAAATTGTATAATCGTATATTTATAAAATGATATTTGATTTATTGACTTTCTTTGTTTTATGAAGCTAATCCCGTTATTCTAAAAAATTCATAAATTATCCCGTACTTTGATCTCTCGAATTTCCGATGGATCCCCGCAAAAATTGTCTTGTTCAATGGCCTCTATTGGCTGATGATGAATGGCCTCCTGTGCGGTTTCTTCGAGTCTCATTAGATCGAGTTGACTGCTCTCCGAGTGAGGACCAACGCGAACTCCGACCGCTTCAAGCACTTCCGTCAATCGTTTTGAATAATCGAGATGTCCTTTGACCTGCAATTCAAGAGCAATTTGTTTTTTTTTTCTTTCCACATTTCAAAATTACTATATGGCTCAAATTGTAATTGCAAATTTTCTTATTCTTCTTGTTGTCGATCGGACCAGTGCCAGCAATTCGGAATTGAACACTCATTGTGCGATAGAGAAATCTTTGAAAAATCAAGAATGAATTTAAGCATTTTGATTGGTTTTACGAAAAAAAACTCAGATATTCCTTCAAAATAATCACCTCAGCAGCCAATCAGTTTGGCAATACCCATTGATTACTCTCCCTCCAACGACACTACAAACTTTGGCCCATTCTTTTGGAGAAGCCGTTACCGGAGCTCCGAGAAGAATGACGTCTTCAATGATTCCGACGCTCTCGGATCTTTTGCTCAATGTCAACAGACAATGGAATATAACTCGAGCTCCGAGACTGAAGCCGATCAATGAGATGGGTCGTTTTCCGTGCGATCGACTCAAAAGCACCTCAGCGAGTTGTTCGCCGACTTCGGTTGCTCGCGAGATGCAGACATTCCACGGATTGTCGAGAACGGACGAGACAGACATCAACGCAACTGGCCATGCCACCGCCGACACGAGACCGGCTAGGGCAGTCTCCAAGAGCGTCTGCTGAATTGCTACTGACACCGCAAAACTCATCAAATACTCGATCGCATTTCCAAGCCGCATCAAGTATGTGCTTTCATATCTGAAACACACAGTTTTTTTTTGAAATATTCTAAAGAACTTGAAAACCTTAAAGTGTACTGCTCCTTTGAATGATGCAAATGCCGCCATTGATGAATGAAAGCTTCCTCTGGACTCTGAAATATATCAAAATAATGAAAAAAAATAATGAAATGTTACCAGGTCGCTTTCAATCCATCCGCTGACCACAAGAGTGCAATTCAGACTAGTTCCTTCCGTCAAAGTTTCAATCGAAAATTCTTCAATTGCTCCAACTCTTTTTTTCATCTAATATATATTTAAATCGCCGCTGGTTGCCACCAATTGTCTTACTTTGTAACCGGTGAATCCTGCTCCAGCTACACCCATTGTCGTACCTAGCACAGCAGCACCGGCGGTAGTGGCAAGACCGGCGATTGCCGTTCCGCCACCAATCAGCATTCCAGCCGAGGCGGCAACGAAAGGCGCCGCAAGACCGCCTGTCAGTCCGATCAACACACCGCCGACACCGCCGGCGGCGCCGATCATCAAATAGCGCTTGATTTTCTTGTTTCGAGCGGTTTTCTCGCGAACGAGCCGCCCGTGCCTATAATTGTTTTTAAATTGACAATCCCGAGAAAGATTCATTTTAGTCCACAAGCATGCCCTATTTGAATTCCTCTCGTTGTATAGCACTCTCTCTCTCTTTTTCTATGTCTCTCACAAGTCGCCATCTTTTTCTCTGCGTCCCTCATATTTCTCAATTGTTTCTAGTGTGATCTCTGAGCGCTGTATAAGCTCACATTTCGCTCATTTGGGCATTTTATTCATTTGATTGATCCCATAAATTCATCTTGACCAAATCTAGTCTATTGTCGAGGAGGAACGAATTTATTCAAATTTTGGCGCAAATCCTTTTCGATTTGATCTAGTATGTATCGCATTGAAAATTACAGTAGATATTAAAGGTGTATGTGAGCATTTATTGTTTTCGCGCTAAGATCAAAAATGGCTAACGCGTTCAAATTTGTCGAATTCATCCGTCTTGGTTAATTTAAAAAAAATTGTTTTCGGAAGAAAAAACACAACCACTATACAACATTTGGGTAAACTTACTTATCCATTTTCTTAGGTTCTCTGTAAAACGTTTTCATAAAAAAAATGCATAAATTATTTTTATAATCAGAAATTTTTTTTTCAAACTTACTCTGTCTCGACGAATTTGTCCTCGAGAATAATAAGAGCTACCGAATCTTCCAACTAGAAATTGAAAAAAAAAGTATATTATTATAAAATAAATTTTTAATTGTAAAAAAAAACTGACATCTTCAAAATCATCCCAAACAACTCCGAGCAATCGAGCGAGATGCCTCAAAAGCACACGATATCGGCTGTCATAATTTCCCGAATTGACGAATGCGAACAAAAGTGTGGCAAGAATCGGCGTCGAACCGTCTTTTTTATAAATTGGATCCTCTTTGATTGAAATTATGAATGAAACTATATCTGCGAGTACTTCTTCGCCCTGAGAATCGGTTTTAAACATTTTCATTCAAATGATTACCTCCAATTGAAGTTTGAGCGCTTTGACAACCTTTTCGGATAAATTGAAACACTGTGTGACGACGTCGAAAGTGCTTTTGCAAAAAAATCTGAAGAAAATTTCAATGTTCAGCTAAAATGGTCACGCAACAGAAATACATGGAATTCGGATCGTTGTCATCCCAAAAATCGAGACGAAGTACGGTTGTCGTCAAGCCAACAAGAGAGAAACGAGTAGAAGGTTGAACTTCGATAGGCGAGTCCAGGTAAGAATGTCGCGGAGAGTCTAAACTTTGATTGATTTTTAAATTTTAGTTCGATTCATCACCAAAACGTCACATTTATGGTACCATCGGGTAAATTAAGTTCAGTGATTTTGACAGGAACGTTATACGTAGTTCGATAGACTAATTCCCACTTTTTAAAGGGAGAGGGGTTGGGTTATCTTTAAAGTTATTGAAACTAATTAAGACATTGAAAAAAATGAAAGCAATTCTACATTAATTAGTCGCGTAGAATCCATTGGGAAGTAAACAACAGGTGTATTGTCGTCAAATAAAATGCACAAGTCCGCAATGTCATTTTTCTGTTTCAATTTTTTTTAATTTAAAGTCTTTTTTGTGTGCCATTCATTACCAAACACATTTGAACAGGAATTTGGGACAAACAATCAGTAACTGAAATACTAATTTCTATAAAGAGCATGTCGCGTGTTTACACCTAATGCATTTTATTCGACGACTATTCAAAAATGTGTAATTTTCACGTGATTGACCATTTTGAATGCCCAGTTTTTGGAGTTTCGACATCTGAGGAATGAGTACCAATAAAAAATTGCCCAGGAATATTGAAAATAAGCGAAATTGAAATCATTGCGGTCTATGCATTTTATTTGACGACAATACACATGTTGTTTACTTTGCGATCAATTTTCTCCGCTACGAATTAATTTACTGCTTTTTAAAAATTATTTTTTCGATTCTTATCTAGTTCCCATCGCAATTTTTTTTGTTCTTTTAAAAGTTAGCCACCCCTCGCCCTTTAAAGAAATGGAAAAGAATAAGCAAGTGATGTCTTGAAATGCAAAAATTTCAATGAAATTTAAATCGACGACAAAAAGTTGAAGTTCGGAGAAAAGACCATTCAAACTCGAACGCTCCCTTTTTTACCCCATTTCGTCTGTTTACACACTGACGCAAATTTACACACATTTCGTTTCACATTAATCAATCTCTCTTTTTTTCAGCTGCGTTGTTTTAAAGATATGTGAACAAATAAGATTTTATGCATGTCACACCATTTTCACGTAATTTTCAAATTTTTAAAAATGAACTATCAAGTTTTTTCGAAAAGAAAAATGAAAAAATCAAAAATGAATCGAAAATTTTAAACCTAAATTTCAATTGCATTGACTTGGTCATAACTTTAATTTGAATTTCGAATTTCCACGAATAAAAAATTCGCTGATCCGTAAACATCCAAGAGGCTCGTATTTTTGCGAAAATTTGTTACCCCTTGAAAATCACTTGAACTTATTTTTGATATGTTTGTCATTTCGCACTACTATCAATTTTCAGATTTTCAATCTTAGTCGTTCAACGATTTGTCGTTCCACCACCATCACCGCCCAATATTCTTTGCATTATCGGATGTTGGGAACAATATGTTCAAACCGTTGAGTTTCGGAGTAAAACTCCCCCCTAATTACATTTCTCATTCATTTTCTGACAGCTCTTCTTTCACAGAAATAAATATAACTCAAGAAAAAAAAAACGCTCACTATTATTCGAGCTGCTCGTCGTCGAAAATTGACGCTGTGGGAACGCCATCGAAACCGCTTTCGGGCTTCGTTTATTCTGAAATCAAAACTTTTGAAAAGAAACACGTGAGAACATACGTCTTCATTTTCCGACGATGATGATGTCGATGGAGTCGGCGTCGAACTGCGTTGTCGATCATCCGCGATCATTTCTGAATTGGCTCTATCATCAAAAAGATTTTTCAAAAAGCTGAGTGGATGTTTGAATTCAGTGAAATTGGTCATACAATATTTCAACAATTCAACAATAGGAACTTCTTGAATGGAATTCAATAAATTTTATCACACGCATGCATCTAATCGAAATTCTACCCAACTAAAAATGTGAATAAAGTGTTTCTCAAAAATTTTGGAAAACGAGGAGAAGAATAAAACATGAAAAAAGAATGTTTTCAATTTGATTCGTATTCTTTTCTTTCCTTCTTTCAGTTTTTTTTCAAAAAAAAAAAACAAAACGGAGAGAAAAGAGTCCGGATGGGGCCAACAGCAGAAGGCTTCTGGAAAAAAGCAAGCCTCATGTGCATTTTCATCAGATAAATTAACGAATTTCAACAAAAAAAAAACACGTATTGCATGGATGGGCAATTTATTGAAAGTTCGTTGCCTGTGTTTTTTTTTGTGTGTTTGCTCATGAAATATTATAGGGGGTTGAAGAGAGTCTCGACGCGAAACAAACAAGAATTGCATTCAATTCACGATTTGTTTGCTGGAACTAATCAATTATTAATGAAATTTACATTTAATTAATACCCATTAGACAAAAAAAAAACGCTCAATTTTGTTTGAAAATGCTCTCTAATTGTCGAACGAAAATGGGCGGAGCTTCGAGGGTGCAATTCTTCCAAGCCCTCCCCAATTTTTTTTTGAAACATCATCTATACTCGATGTTCAGCGATTGCTGTACTCGGATTTTACGTTCTAGGGTTGCACGGAAAAAATTACAAAAAAGCAGACATGCTGAAACCACGATGAAGAAAAAAAGAATCATAAAGCCGATCCCCCGACAATGTATATAAATGGAATCGTTCACGTATCTGAGGATAATGGATTTTGACAACGAAGAAGACCTTCTAAATAAGTTTTGAGCACTCATAAAATGTTCGGCATTTGCGGAAAAAAACTCAATTTCACAATGACGCAGTTGGGTATTTAAAGGATTACGCATGATACTTTTTACTATGTACACAGGCGAATTTGGTAAAATTGAAATTCGTCGACCAAAAAACCAAATTATTTTTTTCGCACATTTATAAACAACGGCCTTAAATGAATAGAAAAGTCCACGTAAGTGACATTTTGGTTTAAAATATTTTCATTTCTTCCAGGAAGGTTTAAAGAAACGTATTTTTAAAGAATATTGATAGGTGCGAAATGAAAGGTGTGTGCAAAATTGCGTCAATATATATCCAATCAAAAACGGGACAAGAATCGCGCATTTAAAGCTCATCAACTATTTTTTAAACGAAACAACCATCATTAAAAATTTGCACAAATCACCATTTATATTCCTTTTTCTCTAAAAAATATGAACAAGCCTTGAACAATATTCATTTATTATTCGGAATAATTCTTTAGTATATTTCATATTTTGAAACCGCTCCCCCCCCCCGTTATTCATTTCATTCAAATACGAAAAAATTGTATTCACTATTCAATTCCACATCATAATTGTCAAACCAAACATATTTTGGATATTAATTAATAATTCTATCTTTGAGGAAAAAAAATGAATGAATGAAAAACTGGGAAGAAACAAACCACAGAATATAACTCTCAGTATTCCATAGAATTAAATTTGAATAAAAAAAATTTTTCGGCATTTAATTGTTATTTCTGGTTGGTATTCTAATTACTATAGCAACCAAAACATATAAACAAACGGAAAAGGAAGAAAACGAAAAGAACCGGAATTTTCTAAAAACGAGTCACTCATGTTATCAGCTTGACACTTATACCCGTCTGTTTTTCCAGCGCAACTAATTTTTGCTCGTCGATAAGCATTTGAAATGACGAAAACTAAATTTTGCAGGCGAAATAGGGAAGAATGAGACTCGTTAAAAACACGGAATTCGATTAAAATAGAAGAATGAAGAGACGAATAATTAATCGAGATGGGGACGAAGGACAAAAAAAAAATAGAAATAGACGATCAAACATTCGCCGAGATACATTTTGATTGAACTAATTAACCAAGCAAATATGCTGATAACGACTTCATCCTTTTGACCGAATACCACACAAATTTCGCAACATATTAATAATGAGCATCACGAACAAGAGCAACACAACAACGAATAAATACTAGGCAACGCACATACATAACTGAATTAAGAGTTGAGCATGTCCATATAAGCGCTGGTTAGTAGATCCGAATCGGCGATGCCTAGCGTTTTTCTGATTCCTTCTGCGATTTTCTCACCGTCTTCTGGTTTCTCGTCGGCTGATAGGCAAACCTATGGAAAAGAGAATTGCTGATTATGGAAAAATGGGTTATGAAATAGTTTTTGATATTGTCGGTGTCACGCGATTGCGGAAAATTGGCTGAAGGCCAAAAAATTAAAGAGAGGTCTCGGTGCGCGGTATGCACCTTTAATCTAACCTTATAGTCAAGCTCGTAAATCTACACTTAGTTTTGACCATTTTAATTGTTTTTTTTTAGCATTTAGCCAATTTTTTGCAGTCGCGCGTCGAAGACAATATGTATTTTTCAAATTAACAGAATTCGTAAATTGAAAAAAAAAAAAACAATGAAAACCTCGAGCTCCATGAAATCTCCAAGCGACTCGACACGGTCGATGTGAATTCGAGTTTGACCATGAAGGACTAAAGTCCGTATCTTTTTTACTTCTCCTTTTACACCCATTGATGATTGAAGGGTTAACTAGAATAAAAATGAGAAATATATAATTTGCACGGGCAAGAAAATTTCAAATTTTCTCGAAATGAGAAAATTCTTAATTTATAACTTGCAAGTTTCGGAGAAAGTCAAAATAACTTCTTTCTGTCACGACTATGACATTTTACAAAAAAAAAATCGATTTTTAGACTGATTTCAAGATGGTTTCAAGGCAATTCTGGGTCAATTAAGTGAATAAATAAAATTCATTTATTTTTTGGAAATAATTTTACCACAACAGCCATGGAAGAGAATTGGATAATTTAACTCTTTTAAAATTGTAAATCTGACAGAATGTATAAAACCAAACTGATTATGCCAATATTATTTTTTGTCATTAAAAAGAATCAAATTTCAAATAATATGTATATATTAAAAAAATCTCAAAATTTGAACACAAGCAGAAAATCAATTTTTAAATCGTGACCATTTTGAATTTTGAAATCTGATTCAAATACAAACCTTCAACGAGTCAACTAATTCATTGGGCACGTCGAATTTATTATAATCGCTTAATTTCGGTCCGGCGACGTCCGGTCGATCATACCAAATTAGCTCGGTTTTCCTCTGTAAAACGTATAAATAGGATAATTTGTGAGGAGGCGAGATTCGAGCGAACATTCCCATTCTCCTCAACACTTCGCATTTTTAGTCGACCATTCGGCGAATTGTAGAAAATGTCATGTTGCCTATGCGAATTTTTATGTTTTTTCTTCAAATTTTATTCAATTTATACAATACTTGAGAAGAACCGGCTCTTTTCCGGATAATTCGACAGCTCTTCGCACCACTTCATCGTGATCGCTGATTTTTGCCTTAATTTCCACATTTCGAGACATCCTTCTGAAAGTAAAATTTAGTCTCCAGAACATTTTAGAAATTTAAAACAATGAAAGGAAAAAGAAATTATTGAATTTCGGCATTTCAAATTGTTTGACGCTTATACACATGTATGTTTATTTTATTATTTATGTTTCTCAACATTTTGGAATTTTGCATCGCTGGTTCTTTCGCCTTTTGCGTTTCTTAAACATTTTTTTTGTTAAGCGTTAATAATTTTGTAGTCGCAAGCAAAAAACTAAGTTCGGGGTTCGAAACTCTGGTAACCCAATACCAATCGGATCCAAACACTTACTCATTAATGAGAAGAAAATATACTATTCGAACCGTCTAATATTACGAAACACAAGATCTATGATGAAATTACAGTAGGAATTAAAGACATACAAAAATCTGTCGCTAAAATCGAAATTTTATGAATGCGCCTGATGATTTAGGTTTGTAAAATTTGGCCGTTTTCGACAAAAATTTTCCACCAATTATCGATTTCATTGCCTGAATCGGGTTCCTTCCACGACTGCTCTCCGTCTGTGAAACGAGAGTAAGCAAACAACAAACATTTATGACCGACAATTTGAGTTTATGCGCGAGAGGAAATATCTATCATTTCCGACGTTTTATTTACTCATATCTAGCGTACTTTTAAAAACATTTTCCCAAGTTTCTTAATCGTGAAAAACAATCAATTTTGAAAGAACTGCGTAAATTATACAACGAGTATTTAAAATTCCACAAAATTTTGAACTAGTTGTCCGTAAAGGAAATTCAAATTTTTAAGTGAAAAATCTGTAAAACTGATGTTCGCAAAAATTCAAAATCCGTAAGTTTTCGTCAGACGTTTGCATACTTGCATACCGTAACTGAAAATTTAATGTTAAAAACTATTTCGTCGGCCAACTCATCGTGGCATAATTAGGAGAAACAGTGGCAAAAATAGAACACATTGGTTGTGTTCGTCGAAGCGTCGAATCAGTGTAATCTGCTTGTTTTACCAACCCGAGGAACTGTTTCGCCCGATGAGTTTGCCGAGAATCTTTTTCAATTTCAAATTCACTATTTCTTGCCTTTTGCAAATCCAAGAACTAATCTTAAACAGAAATTTAAGAAGCAATAGAAAAGCGAACGCTTCAATTTGAACAAAAACGGTTCGCGCCCAATTTAAAATTCACGTTAAGCAATTTGATGTGAAAAGAACAAATACGGCTGAAGAGGCGCCAGACTGCAATAGGGATTTGTCCGGTGGGGCACCTCACTGGGTTTTATTTCATTTTGCGACACAATTTTCCTCGTCGCGTGCCAATATTTGCATCGAAACTTTTATTATATTCATTTCGTTTTCGAATTCACTGAACTTTCATCACCAATCGATGTTCCTCTTATGTAATTTATGTGAAAAATTGTTGAGGAGTCCGGTTTTTTTGATTGAAATTATAGATAAACGCTTGCTTTTTCTTTCAACGTTGCGCAACACCGAGATAATCAAGCCCCCAAACTTTCATTCTTATTCATTCCATTGATGTTTCAATTTGAACACCTGCTTTTGCAAGCGCCTATGTGTGCTTTTTGCCCTATTCATGACGATTTTTGTATGTTTCAATAGAACGATTATAGAATAAAATGATCGGAGTGGTTAGTCGACGCATTCCGCTGAAAGCGATTCAGCGCAGTGTGACGATGTCTTCAAGGATGGCAGACAAGTCGCCAGCAGTTGTAAATTCGTCGCAAATCTCGGTAATTATTGATCGAAATATGATTTAGAGTAAATTGGAGATAATTTCAGAAGAAAAAAGATGATGATATGCTGGAAACGATTGATATTGAAGATCTTCCAAGAGCTCAAAAGCGTTTTGCAAAGCAATTTGAAAAGGTTTGATTAATATAATATATTTATATGGAATCGGATTCTAACGAGTGAAAGCTTTATCTCAATCTCAAGTCAAGCCGATTCACATATTATGCCAAAAACATTCCAACAACTTCAAGACATTCGTAAGGGATTTTGGCAAAAATTTCAGACTAATCGGTTATTATAATTTTCCCATTCATCATAAATAATTCTCCTAAACATTTGACTAATTAAAAAAAATCAATTTTTTGTTGAATTTCAGGTCAACGAAGAACGCGTAAAAGAACTATTCGCGCGCAACTATAAAAACCATGCGGCGTTTGCGACACTTCTCGCCGTCGTCGTCGGCATTTACTGGTACACAATGTACTCGGTGAAGCAGGAGACATTTTTGGAAGAAATCGACCAAGAAATGGCGGCAACAAAGCCAGAAACTCATGGGCATTTGGCGAAAACTGCCTAAAATTATCATTTTTTTGCGTCGTCTCTTTTTGATAGAAAAATTAGGAATATTTAGAGAATAGGAATATCCGTTATGCCTCTCATCGTTGTTTGACTTCCTTTTTATTTCGTTCTACGAGTTTCATATATTTATTTTCCATATAATTTTATTTCAGTTTTTTTCCCTGTTTTTCTTCTTTCTCGCTATCTCCATATTTGTTTGCCTCGTGGTTTTTGTTGTGCTGCGAGTTTCATTCATTTTTTCTAGCTTCCTTCTGCGTGTTCCCTTTTTTGCCGTTTTCGCTCTCGTCGTTATTGTTTCTTTTTGACTGAAAATCCGATAAAAAAAAATAAATTTATCGGGTTTTCAGGTATGAGCAGCGATGAGGAGCGATTGGTGTCATTGACATTTCGCAAAAACGAGGATGAACTTTCGGTGGATGAGAATGATGTGAGCTGTGGAGTTGGGACGAAGCATATCGAGGATCGCAAGAGCAAAAATCATGTTGATTTTGCCAATCAGGTAATTAAAATGGCTTCATTTTTAGAATTAAATATTGAAAATGACATTTATGAGATGCAAAATTTTGTGCGAAGGAAAAAGTTGGATTCGAAGAATGGAAAAAATGATTTTGCTTAGCAAAATTTATAAGTTTCCCAAAGAAATTGAAAAGAACACCCATTGAAGAATTAGTTCCTTGTCTGCGCCCACTTCGTCGCAACTAGTCTCTTACAATCAGATATTTTTTTCTGCTTGAAAAGAAGTGTCGTCGACGCTTTATTTTTTGAGAGTGAAAATGCCGAAAGCGACGTTCGTTACAACGACAAACTTAATAAATCTATTGCAGAACTTTGTTGAAACGACCGAAGAGGAGTCGGATTTGTCGACGCCGACGGCCACCAGACCGCCGCTTGGAGGAACCATCGACGGCGATGAGACGCCAACGGTACGAGATTTTTTTTTGTTCTTTGCTATTTATCACAGACAGACATACACACTCACGCGCATATATACTCGTTCGCTGCTTCTTTTGATCCTACTTCACTAGTTAGTTGGTTTTCCCACGGAGACATCGACCTTTCTGATTTATCAATTGGTCTCGGCCCAAGTTTTCATAAATTTTATTGTTGATTAGGGAAAAAGAATTGAGTGAAATAAATCAAATGGACATTTCAAAATGAAATCGCATTTTTTGAGTAATTTTGAATGATGTTAAGCATTGATTTCATGTTTATCCCATGAGCATTTAAGGGAACATATCTGAATTATTTTTCCTAAAGCTCTCAACTGGCTTGAAAAAAGTCAACATCGCCTAGGATCACATTTTAAAGATGACAAGGGTCATCGACTTCAAATAAATTTTCCGTGTTTTCGAGAAATATTTTGTTATCAAGATGTTTAGTGTTATTCCGTTTTGTTTTTATGCCAGCCGTCAACCTACACCTTGATAAAATGATTCTGCGGACATTGATAATAGAAGTGCCACTTACTTTCGATTTTAAAAGGGTCCGACTGGAATAGCTTAAAACATGCATAGAATTAAAACATTTCTTTAAAATAAAGTCGTCACATGTGGCTCATTCTTTTATAATTATTCATCTCCCATCCCAAGAGAATATACTTCACCTACTAACTTTCATTTTTACGATGTTGATTGTTTTCGCTTCAAACCGCGGATATAATTCGCTGAAGTTTTCTTATTTTTCTTCTTTCGAGTAACTTTTCTATAAGATCAGATATCAAATATTCTTTAGAATTCGACTTTATCTTGAAATTATCATTTTTATAGTCTCATGGGCAAAGTTTAATTGTCTCGAGCCGATCATTTCCATGACTCATATTGTCTGATGTTAATGATTATCAAATGACGAAATGTTTTCTTTTTTTTCGATTTTTCTGAAAATCATTTTTGAAAAATGTTGGCTACGTCTCACACTTATTGTCGAAATACGTTTTTTTTTTGACAAAATTTTCAAATGTGTGAGATTCACGCGAAACCTGACAAAATGCAGTTTAAAAACTGGACATGACCGCTTGTTTGATTGATCGATCCGCTTCTACAAAAATTTTGACGAGTAATATTCGTTGAAAGTGCAGCGAAATGACCGCAAAGATCAATTTTTGAAGTTTCGACACCATGCAGATAAACGATTCGACGGATTTTCTCGGCCAATAGTTCTTCGCTACCAATTTTTCGCTCCGCTACCGGTTTTTCACTACCACATTTTCGCTACCGAAAAAATAGTTTTTTCACTACCGTTTTTCACTACCGTTTTTCACTACCGATTTTTCACTACCGTTTTTCACTACCGATTTTTCACTGCCGATTTTTCACTACCGATTTTTAACCACTGTTTTTTCACTGCCGATTTTTAAATTTCTCAATTTCAAAAAAAAGAACAATTTACACAAATAAAAGGGTATTCATCGAAAAAAGGGGTGGAGAGGAAATATAATATAGAACAAAAAAGGGGCCAAACAGCATAACTAAAAAAAATATTAAAACGGGGAGAACGATCGGCGCCTTCGTTTATTTCGTTGTGGACGTCTAAAAAGACTACTCTGTGTCGATTCAACTTCTCTGAAGACATATTGACATTTGTTATATTTACGTCGGTTTATTATTACCCATATTCTTCGTATGATGTACTTTCCAAAGACTCCACGCTCTCTTCATTTCTCGTACTTGTTAAAATTGGTTCGAAATCATTACTTATTGACGAATCGTCAAAGATCGTAATACTAAAAATATCAATAAATACAATTATATGAAGTAAAAACATACTTAGAAATCGACTGAAGTTGTCTTACTCCATTCATTTTGCTCAGCGCACTCCTCTTTCTAGGACAAGATTTTTTTCCAGTTTTTGCAGTGCGTGATGCCTTAATCATTCTTCTTTCAGATAATTCGAGGCATTTCGACTGCAGTAAATCGAACTTAAGGGCTCTTTCTTCCTTTTCCATTGATATTAAAACAAAAAAACTGAAATTATAAGGATTTACTTTAGAAGATTACTGAAAACAACATACATATGCTCACAAATCTTAGGAAGTTTCGCTTGGCAATTCTTTTTGCAACATTCGAAAAAAGAATCAGAACATTTAACTTCAGATATTTCACTAAAAAGAGTTTGAATATAATTGAATAACTAAAAGAAACGTAAAACCCACGTTTCACTTTTTATAAAATAACCACATTCTATAGAATACAATTCGAGTTTTCTAGCAGCTAGCTCTAATTCGTAAAGATGTTTCGGTGGATTTGCTGTAATCAAACGTAAATAAAATTCATAGAAAAATTATTTTTCTTACATTGCTGAAAATAGGGAGGTATGGCAACAGTTGACCGTTCTTGGAACCTCAATTCCTTAAGCCTGGTCCGTTTTTCACTTTCCGAAAGAAAATTGAATTCGTCTTTTCGAGAATACACAACCAATTGATCTTCGGTCAAAACAGCTTGGTATAGATGATCTACATCATCTGAATTACTTTTTTTTGAGGTTTTGCTAAAATTGCATGTTAGAAACCTCCAAAAACTATAATAAGCTTTAATGCAAGTTGGTCAGCCCTCATCGAATTAGGGATTTCATGGCGTAATCGGCTGTTTAAATTTTCGATTAGATTTGTGGATACGAACGGCTGCCACCATCCAGATTTCAAGCGCGTTAACAGCCCGTTTTCACGAAAAAGGCTCTGTCCTTCAGTTGATAGCCTAAACCAGTTCAAAATTTACGCGATGGTGTAAACTTGACGCAAAATTGCAGTTATTTAAGCAGCTTTTATTACCATTAAAAAACTGGGCACTGGCCAAGTGGGGCTAAAGCCGATGTGAATGAACAAAAAATGTACTTTCCAGTCAAGGGGCGTCAAGTATGACATCTATATGTAGTAGATATTCTTTTTATATGTAGTAGTATATTTGAGTAATTCTAGAAGCCGCGTTATTTTTCGGAAAAAAGACTAAATATATCAAATTATGTTTTGTTGTAAATATCATAATTTTTTATGTAACATAATTTAAAATAGAATATTTTTGCTTCTTTACCATTTAAGAGCACCGGAATCGCTTATCATTGACGTGAGTTTTGCGAGTTTGGAATTGAATTCAATTTCGGTTACTGCGCCTAGCAATCCACATTTAATCCTCGAAGGTGATGTCTGAAATATAATGTTGATTGATTTGCCAGGTATTGTGGAAAAATGACGAATGTGAAAAACTTCAGCGATATCCTAAGCATTTCGTGCGTACACCGAGTCGCTACAGTAATTTTAGAATCTTAGTTACAATAATCTCAAATGAAAATTATTTAATCAATTATTATATATTTTTTTAAATTTCTTTCGCTGTTTTCTTGGCGAGTTTATGGTTTTATGTATATTATTGTGTTGAAAAAATGTAATAGTAATCATTTTTGTATATTATTCAATGTTAATTGTTTTAAATAAAAATAAACTATCAATAATTAATTAAATCATTTTTAGTTGAGGTTACTGTAGATAAGATCTAAAAAAAATTGCTACCAATTATTTTATCCGAGGTAACATAAATTTGATTATTAAAACCACGTACCTCACCAAAAACCATTCTGGTCAGTCGAGCGCGAGTTGTTTTATCCGTTGTGGACATCGAATTTTCAAAATTAGCCATGCGATGCAAATCACAACGCAGACGTTGTGAATTACGAAAAAGTGGGATTGTCTATAAAAACGAAGTTAAACAATCAAAAACAAAAAGTTTTTAGTTTTTGTGGGTGCGAGTTAATTGTTTGCTTATTTTTAAAAATTTCGCTCTAAGATAAAAATGGTAATGATTGGTTTTGTACTTTTGCGTAATTTTGAACTTTATCGAATGATTGGAATTGAAGCAGACAACGGGGAGAGTTTCGAAAATTTTCCGCAGATTATTTTTCCCTTTATTGGATTGTGTGGATTATGCTGAACTGTCACTTTTCTTTTAAATGTTCTCTGATTTTTTGGGTTTTTTTTTGTGCACATTAATGAGCAACACAACTATCACATCATTGGAAACTATTTTCTTGATAACAAACTCATATTTTCAATCGGTACTCGATTACAGGCGCCTGACCCAGCGGCAAAGTACGCAATGGCACAAACCAAGGAAGCGGATTTGTCGCGACCGTCGGCATTGCCGGTGAGATATTTTTAGAATTTAAAGCAGAATAAGAATTGTTAGTTCGGGTGAACTTTTTGCGAAAAACTATTTTTGTTTTAAATTTTGATAAAGAATCTGAGTACGTTTGTCATACTCTGATTGAAACAAAAAATGTATCTGTAAATCTATTGAAACTGACACCTTCAAATTACTGAAGAAACCTAACAAATTCCGTTTGTAAAAATTAAAGTAATTTTTAAATTATTTTTATAGAAGCATCATTTTCAGAATAATGATGTTCCGAGCTCTTCAACTGTCATTCCACCGCCGAAATCAACATCTTCAAAATCAACAGGAACCCCAATTCCGCCTCAACGTAATCGCAAACGAAAGGTTCGAACCAACATCGTCATTTTGTTAATGTTTTAAAACATATTCATTGGTTGGAAATGTTCAACAAATTTTGTTGACCCATGATTCACGAACCGCGCTTTCGGCCGCCATCACCATTCCAAATTTTGTGTGATCGGTCGACTTCTTTCGCTATTTCGCATTTTATTTGTGCCTGAGGTTTTATTACCCTTGCTATTAATGATGGCACGCAAATCGGTATCGGTTATTGACTTTGAGACGATTTTTCGAAAAACGAAACGTTCGAATAGCGTACCGCACTTGAGGGAGGAGATCGAGCAACAAACCGATATTGAACCCATCAACGCTGTCCCTTTTCAAACTCTTATTGTTAAGAAATTGGCTTTGGATAGGCCCAAGGTGTCACATATGATCAATGGAATTGACAGATTGTAATAAAGAGTTTTCCGATTCAGGTAACCGAACTACGATGCTGCGAGATCCGATGGTTCTACCAAGAACCCAAGTCGAATGTCTGGACGCCGCTCAATGGCCGAGATTCGCTAATGCTGGAGATCAAATATCGCAAAGAGCACGATATGCCTCTTGACGACGCTATGCAGAAGATCTATGATGAGAGTTTGAAGGATTTTCATAAAGGAACTAGTTGGACGACGGCTGATGGAAAGAAGCCAATGATTGTTGTACTTAATGGCCAATATGAGTAAGAGAGGATTTTTAAAATTGGGCGTCTATGAATGATTTGTAGAGTGAATTATAATAACACCAAAATAGAGCCAATTTACTGGAAGGATGATACGAAGGAGATTCGACGGGGATCGTGGTTCACACCGGTATCAATTTTGAAGCATTTTCTGTATTTTCTAAATTTTTCTTTAGGATTATCAGCCGCTTGATATGGCACTGAGTGATCAAATTGAGAAGAATCATTTGCAGTATTTCCGTAATCAGACAATTCCAGAAGGGACAACGGTATTCTCGAAATCAGAGAATAGCAATAAGCCGAGTAAGAATCACTTAATACCCGTCTTGGATGTTGATTTAAATCTTCTACAGTCCTAGCCGAATTGCACGCGGATAGCTGCGATATTCGATGGAATTCTGTAATCGACATATCCCTTCACCAAAAGGGAAACGCCATTTTGAGGTTGAATAAAAAACTCTATTTCGATTTCAATTGTAGTTTTTAGATATCTTTGGGCAAAATCGACCCCGTTGAGACGAGGATATGAGAAGGAGGCGGAATGGGACGATGCTGCTGCAGAAATATCGCACTTGATTCTCGTGGTTCACGGCATTGGCCAAAAAGGATATGAGAATTTGATTGCTCAGAATGCTAATCAGTAATTAAACACTATTCGCTACCAAGTAAAAAATTCTCGATTCAAGGGTTCGCGATGGCGTTGTCGCGGCAATGGAAAAATCGTATCCGGAAGAGAAGACTCGTCCGATTTTCCTTCCTGTCGAATGGAGATCGTCTCTGGTTTTGGACAACGGATTGACCGATAACATCACGATTCCCAAAATGAGCAGCATGCGTGCATCACTTAACAGTACTGCCATGGATGTCATGTATTACCAAAGTCCATTATTCAGAACGGAGGTATTCTGATGACGTCAAGTGAATGTCTGATATGTCGATTTTCAGATAATTCGCGGTGTTGTGAGACAATTGAATCGGGTCTATAAGTTATTCAAAGCCAATAATCCAAAATTTAACGGATCGGTATCGATTTTTGGGCATTCGCTCGGATCAGTGATTTGTTTCGATATCCTCACAAAATACTCTCCATTGATGCTCTATGACAAATATGTTTCCGAATCGATTGTGAGTCTCTTATTTTGTATGATTTAGTTATTTGATTTCGCTATCTTTGAATTGTGTTCTGCTTGATAAGAATGCCTGTTAAACAGTAGGAGAATGAGAGTGATATTAACCCATTTATGGATCAAAAGTTTCAAAATTATATCGCGGTTTCACGTGAATTATGAATGTTTTTCTTTTAATAAGAAAAATTACATTATCGTTGAGTCTTAAAACTCTGAACCATATTTTTTTTTCTCAAATTTCAAAATAGTTGACGATTTTCATAATTTGAAACATTACTTTACGCTTCTCAAAGAAATCTAGCCGAAACTTTTTTTTTTCAAATGTTGCCTTTTTCAAAAATAATGTGAAAATTTTTGTCGAAAGGGGCATTGTAGAATTACTCACGAACCAATTTCAGGACGAATATTTGAAAAATAGCGATGAATCGAACGAAGAAGCTAGAAATGCTATGCAAGCGTTGAAGCATGCTCGCGATCAGTATGCTGTTCGGTAGTTTTTTCCAAATGCTCAATTTTCGATTTTTAGAATTCGCGATACAATTGATGGAGGAATTCAGAAGCTGTTGATGACAAAAGAAGAGCAACTCGATTTCAAAGTCAAGTATATGTTTGCTGTTGGATCGCCTCTTGGGGTATTCTTGACAATGCGTGGAGCAGTTTCCACTGATTTGCTTCCGAAGACTTCCAATGTAAGTGAATTTATTAATTTTTATTTGAATTGCTGTTTTAGGTTGAACGAATCTTCAATATTTTCCATCCATATGATCCAGTTGCCTATAGATTAGAACCGTTCTTCTGTCCCGAATACAAGCATATCAGACCCATCAAGTTGTTCTCGAGCACCGATCTTCGCGGAAGGGCTTCATATGATCACTTGCCATTGGATGTTTATAAGCATTATTTGAAAAAGCTGAAAAGTCAGTCAAAGAAAGGAAAAGGTGATAAGGATGCGAGAAGTGGTGCCGACGATGATATTGACGAGGAAGATGAGTGTGATTCCGATGAGGACGCGAGAAGTGGATATTCGTCGCCACGCTCTATGACACCGCCACCAGGTGAACGCGAGGCCGCTGGCGGCGGGCCGGCGAAGGAACCAAAAGCGGTTAAGAAAGGATGGTTCTCGTTTGGAACATCCAATCCAAAGAAGACAACCAGCTCTGCGAGTTTGAATGGAGCTGCGAATGCGACGAGTCCGGTAACCGATGCGATCGAGATAGCGAAAGAAGCGGAGGTTCGATTTTGAGTTAGGATTTGATATTTTACGATAATTTTTTTTTAGCAAGAATTGCCTCTTGCGGAAAGAATTTTGGGTAGTGGGACTCGTGTACCACATCGAATCGATTTTCAACTCCAGGTTTGTCATTTAAATTCTATTCTATGCCCCCAATTCTGATTTTAGCCAGCGTTGACTGAAAAGAGCTATTGGTCGGTGCTGAAATCGCACTTTGCCTATTGGACGAACGCCGACTTGGCACTGTTCGTTGCAAACGTTCTCTATTGCAAGCCAGCGAAACCCGAAGAAGCAAAACAATCGTGGGCTTAAATGCGGCGACGTTCGCCATCATCTCTACTCACTTCCATTTTCGGTATTCTATATGCCAAGCTTTATTCGAAAGGGTATTAACAGAGAAAAGAATGCGATTAGTTTTAAAACGAAAGCTGTATAATATGTAATTAAGCATCTGCCCGAGAATGTAGTTACTTTGTGTTCTTTCCTATTTTCCTTTGTCCCTCTCCAAAAATGTGATAGCAAGTCATTTAATTAATACACATCCTATCTGTGACCCGGTACTTTTTAGAGAATTGTATTCCTCCTTTTCATGGTAACGACTTACTTTTTCCCCGTAATTTTTTGTTAGTTTTTTTTTCCGTTTTTTACTACTAGAGGGAGGTGTGAATTATTTAAGACCTTTCTTTTATTTTAATCGAATAAATGCTTTGTTTAATGGGAAACAATCTTACATTTTGTCGAACTGTGACAAATTCCAGAAATGGTCTCGAACAGACGAGACGCGAGACGGGAATTGCACCACTTAACAACGTGACGTGAAAATCTCCGCTCGTAAATCGACACTCATGTTGCGAGACGCAATTATACAATAGACAGCGTCATCCGCATAGACGCTACTTCGACAATATATCGAGACGAACCTAACATTTTGAGAAACAAGGATCAACACATTTCCTTTTGAGAAGTTCCGATAAATGGATTACAAAATATTGGTGTTTAGAAATGTTCGACACATTCGAAAAAGACGCGGGCGATGGGATTTCAGCCAATATACCTATTTCGCCTACTTGCTTATTTTCAATTCAAAGATCTGATTGTTTTTGAGTTTCCAAAGTTCTTAAACAAGAATATTGAAAAAAAAAAGTTATATAAATGGAATTACCTCAAAAAAAAAACTGAAGCGCCGGACCTCATCACGAAAAAATCGGAATTGCTGTCCAAAAAACAAACTAAAATGCAGATTTCGGCATTTGAAATGTTTGAAATGAACAAAAATGATGAACGTGATCGAGATATGTTATCAGGAATGCGCATTTCGATTCATTACGCTAAAATTCTTTGAAATAAATACAATGATGTCGAACATCCAAAAGCGAAAGAGTGCTCATGAAGAAATTGAGATACCTAAGAAGCGAGTGTGCTTCAGCGATTATGTGAAAGAGGTCCACTTCGAAATTATTGAAGGTGCGCCATACTTTTCATATTTTTCATCGTTGTTTTCTCGAGCCTCCCGTCTTTAAAATCAAAAATTCAAAGAAATTTAATTCGAAAATTTCGATACTTATTCGACATCTTTTCATCGAGAAAATGACTTTTTATTATTATTGGGAGCTTGGGGCAAAAAAAAAACAATAATGAGAATATAATTGAATAAAATAGGAAAGGGCGGGATTCAGAGGTCCAATCACATTCATAAATATCCAATTTCGCATTTTTGGTGCGTCGCTTTTTTGGAGCGAACTTATCCGGCCTGTTTATAACGAATTGTCCAATTAGGAGCGGGTAATTAAAGGGGCGGGAAGGAGAGATAATTAATAGGATTAAACGAGTGAATTATTAAGGAAAAAAGGCATGGTGATATTGAAAAATTGCTGATTCAAATATTCTGATTAACTCGGTTGATTGGGCGGTTCATTTTTGGCCTTTAACGACTTTAAAGGCGACCTGTGCGACATGGATTCCGAGTTTCTTCGTCTCGTTTTTGGATTCTTCGTCGTTTCTCGAATTTTGTCAGTGTTCCGTGTTGTTTCCGTGTATTCTGTTCTGCGATATCGTCTTTAAAGTCGTTTAAAGGCATCGAAAAATCGGGTCGCCTTATAAATTTTGGTTTTAAGGTCCAAAGATTGGACGAAAACGCACCCGAACAACGGGCGACTTCGTTGAAGTCCAGTTCAAGAAGCTGAAGGATGCTCCAGAATGTCCGCAGCCACCGGTCGTCTTCAGCCAAGAGGAAATCGAGCAAACTTTTGGCCCGGAGGACGCGTCGATGTATGAGCCGGAGCCAGTCGTCCCCCTGTGCTCGTCGCATTGTTCAGAAGCCACAGGGTGCTCCGAGACCTGCCCCTGTCTTCTGGACGAGGTGCAATGCGACAGCACTTGTCCGTGTCTGCCCAGCAACTGCAGTAATCACAACACCATGCGGTTGCTGGCAGAATATCGAGCACGTCGGGACCGCAGGGAGAGGCTGGTGACGGCCAACGAAGAATGGGCGGCGTTCGATGCGGCGGAAGACCGGCCACCGTTGATTGTCGTGTCGGAGGAGGCAGTGGAGAAGACGGAGGTGGCGGAGGCAATGGAGGAGATGGAGGCGGAATGCAGCGTAGAACAGTCAGGACAGACGGAGTCTGTGGAAGTTCAGGAAGAGGTGGTGGTCACCAATTTAGAGACGATGCACTTTCATCCCGAATTAATGGGCGCGTTGCGAGGTCTCATCACCGATGACGACCTGCCCACGGGATACCAGACCTATTTAACATCTGGCGCTGTGACGGCCGGGCTCTTGAACCTGGTGCAGTCGCAGGGCCGCAAGGTCGGTGTGGTCCTTCCGTCGGCCACGAAAGCAGTCATCGAGCGGACGGTGGACGAGGACGGCCAGCATGTCGCCGCCATGCTAAGGGAGTGTACGGCCGGAGTCCGAAGGCAATGCGAGGTGCTCCTCCTGCCAGTGCACCAAGATCAGCACTGGCTGCTCGCGGCCTACACAGTGGCGACCGCCAAATGTGTCATTTATGACTCACTGGTCGGAAGCCGCTCGCGCAAGTCAAAGACCGCCATCTCGAATGGGCTGAAGCGACTTCTTGCCGCACTGTTCCCGTCGACACTCTCGAGTGTCAGATGGGTTCCTCAAAAACATCAAGAGGCCCAGACGGACGGGTTCAGTTGCGGTCTGTTCGTGATCGCCAATGCCAGGAAATTCTTAAAATCAACATCTAGCAACCTGGCAAAGGCTGAGCGTATGGATTTGGCGAGGGAGCTAAGCCTTTTGCGAGTCATCGTGAAACGGCTGAGTTCGCAAATCCAAGCGATTGCGGACGAAGCATTAGCGAACCCGCCACTTCCGGAAAATGAACCGAGTGTTCCAGTAAGATCTAAAAGGAGCTCGGCGATTCGCGCAAAAACCAAGATCACGCGACTGTTCTACGAGAGATCGGTGTGAAGGCCGGACGCGCGAACTTATATAATTAAAAAATAATACAATAAAAAAATAATAACCAAAAAAAAATGAAAAAAAAAATGAAAAACCAAAAAAAAAGAAAAAAAAAGAAAAAAAAGAAAAACCAAAAAAAAGAAAAAAAGAAAAACCAAAAAAAAGAAAAAAACAAAAAACAAAAAAACCAAAAAGAAAAAAAGAAACAATAAATAATTATACTATGACTCGTTCCTATATTAGGACACCCCTATTTGATCGCAACCGTCGAAATCGATGAGATCATTTGTGATTGGACTTTTCTGCTTGAATCGAAGATCATCGTCTCCAACCTAAAATGAATTTTTTGGCCGAAGCTTAGCCAAATGTGATTATTGAGAATGGCTGGATTGGATCAATCGCGATCAATTTGTTGTAAGAGAAGATCATTCCGTCAAAGAATAGTTTTTCATTTCAGTTTTATAGTGAAGCTTCAATTTTGAAGAAACTATCTTGATTGATTCGTTATGATTCTGATGATGTTTGCTGGATGGAAGATTATTCCCACTCGGATATATACATTCAGTCGTTTTCCAAAGAACAACTTGCGATTAGATGTTATTCATTCGAACATTTGATTTCGGAATATGTGATTATGGCAGCTTTTTGATGGTATCGATTACCTCTTTAAAATTTTTTCAATTCTTTTTTTTTCCAGATAAATTCAATTAGTCCTTAAAGATAAAATCGATTTGAGTCGATGTACTATAAATTCGTGTTGACCTGTGATGTTCACACGAACCTTGAGAAGGAGAGATGTCACTCCGAGAAATAATGAGACACGAAATTAAACCAATGAAGATAATCAGGATTAAATTGGTCCAAAGAATGTAGCACATGATCAAGGTGCTGATGGAGTGGTATGAGTTATTTCATTTATATTTTTTTTTCAAAATTTTCATTTAGCAACAATTCAAAAAATGTATTGGGAATATGAAAATTCCAATATGAATAATGCTGATCATGTGAACGTAAGAATTCAATCTCGTGCGAAGAATAATTTTTTTAAACTTTCATTTTAGATATTACGTGACATCGTTGAATCCACACACGATTTGTCTACTTTTCGGCATTGATCGAGCCTGTCAAAACGAGAATAATCTGAAGAAGGCCATCGAGACTTCGTGATTACGATGACACCTGAAATTACGGATATGTTTAACAGTGGTTCGATTTATGTCGTTATTTTAAAGCATATAATAATGATGCATATTAAAATGTAAAATTGACTATTAAATTGCAATCAATTATTCGCTTTCAGAAAAAAAAAACAATTGAAGGAATCGATGCTCCTCAATCATTAATTATTATTTGAATCCAAGAGGAAATAGAAGATGTTGAGATTTCGAATCAAACCGAGAAGATCTCGAATTATTTGAAGCACACAATCAAGGTGCTTATCGGATTGTAAGTGAATTGTGAATATAACTTCTAAATCAAATTCGTCTTCAGTATCCCTAAATATTTTTATATTCTTCGAATAATTTTTTTTTTCAAATTAAATTTAAATTCCTGTTAATAACACCCTTATGAAAAACGATGGACAAAATATATTATAAAAAAAAACAAAAAGATCCATTATCGTTTTCAACCACCATTTAATTGTATTATGTACGTAGTCCTGAATATAGTCACCATTAATTCCCATTTACTCTTACTTTTCTGATAATATTGATTTCCCCTATCCATGACAATTTTATTAACATTCTCTAGAATAATCCCCTATTATAGTATTTTAAACGACGGACAACTTAATTGTCAAAAAAAAAATCGAAAAGATCCAAAGTCGTTTGAATTTATTATTTTTTGTTGTATTATTATGATTATTAATATTATTGTTATTGAT